CTTCAAAACAAGCCATTAATATATTAGATTAGATTAAGAGCGGTGGCCTTTATTGTGGACCTATTGTGATCCTCTAGTCCTAGGTAACATTCTTTAGCCTGATCCTTTTTATAAAGTCTAATATATTTCTGACTGTACCTTCCATGTAGCTATTTGCTGGTGGATTTTCTTCTCCTAATGCAAAGAATCGCACATTTGCCAGACTGCCACACTGACATAAAATATGCTCGGCTGTTACTTCTTTGAGGTGACAGTATCTGCACACGTCATCATCTAATAATCCTATCAGCTTCAAGTGCCTATTCAGCTTACAATGCCCTGTTAGAAAAACTACTATGGCTTTGACTGTTTTCCTGTCTGCCGTAAATTTTGGCAAATGTTCTGTTATGAACGGTTTCTCCTGTCTTTGTCCTGGTGAATTCCTCCAGCATTTCAGAGATTTGTGAGCTACCCACTTCCTTGTAGCCGTTCTTGTTACTGACTCTGCAACGCCGCAGAAGGGTTCCGGTCCAATAAATGGCATTGATGAGCCTTGTTTGGCCATTTTATCTGCTTTTTCATTACCCTTATGACACTCGTGCCCTGGTACCCAGATTACCGCAACCTTGCTATGGTCTCACAGTTTATTTATGTCACACACGCAATCCCATACTAGTTTAGAATTGACCTCTACAGAATTGAGTGCCTTAAGTGCTGCCTAGCTATCTGTGAAGATGGCAACTGAACAGTGATGGATTGCAGTTATTTCTACCTGCAAAACTGTCACATCCTTGGATAGATTTACCACGAAATATATCCCTTGATTTGTCACTACTATGCCGGCTCCCACACCCTCCGATGTTTTTGAGACATCCGTGTACCAAATTGCAGCAGCTTGTATGGGTACACCTTTATTTCAGAATTCCCTGCCTGGTATCTTAATTGTGAACTTATTGTTAAGGGTGTATGTCGTAGCTGTTGCATCGATAGGTTTCCATATCACAATATCGACTTTTAGCTCAGCGATTAGCTTTTTGTTGTCAGTACCATGCATCTGGCTTATATGTCGCTGACTATTGATTTATCTGTGCATTACTGATCTGGCTTCGCCCTGTATATAGATATGAAGAGATGGTAGATTCAGCATTACGATGCTGAATCTACTTCCAACGATGCATATATTAAATAAGTATCGAAACAAATGCCCATATCCAGGTATATCGAAATAACGTATTAGAGAACAATCGCATATAAGAAATAGTAATATCCACAGAAATCTTGGGATAGGTACCATCAATATATATTTATGTGTAATAATGAAGATTGCAAAAGTGTCGTTAAGGACATCATCATCCATAAACGTATATTTGTCCACTGCTGGAGGCCTCCTGTAAAATGTCCACCTATTTTTATCTTCTTTTATATTTTTGCATCCAGTTTGTGATGATACTCGTCCTCTGCTTCGATATGCCTCTTGCCTTGGTCGCCATTCCAGAATCTTCCTGGTGCATCTATCATCCGTCAGTTTATACCCGTTTGGCAATAGCTATTACTTCAACTGCATTCGTGATTCCTGTTGTTCTTCTTATTTCTTGGCTTGGTACCTTTTCTTTGATTACAATACCTTGAAAACATTGATGTTTCCATAGCGTGTTATTTAACTCTTATTTTATTTATTGTTTATTCTGTCAGAGTTAGTGTTTCTGCACCATATGTAAGAAATGGTAAAACACATTGGTTAAAAACCTTTCTTTTTAAACAAACTGGAATACTAGACTTGAAAACATTGTTCAATCTACCAAATGCAGTCCATGTGAAACATATTTATTCGCTGACTCCAAGGTTGGTCATAAATTTTTTGTCTTTGAGGTATTAATATTAAGACCAATTGATTTTGACAATTCATAGAGCGTTTGCACAATTTTTGTAGCTTTATCAATTATAGCAGATATTGCACTCCATCTACAAAGTCTTCTTGGTGGTAATTGATAACAGGTGTTTGTGATGACTACAGTGGAACTTGGTTATAGCGTCATTGAAGGGTCCAATAAAAAAATGACGCTATATCAGAGTGACGTTAAAAAAGAGGTTGAGAAAAATAAAATTTTAATGAGGGAAAATATAATTACAGCATTATTGGGTATAGTAGATATATTATTTGTTAATTACTCTGGGCCTAAACATGATAATTTAACATAGTTTACGATATACCGAAAATATAACATTTACTTAAGTCAAATTTAAAAAAAAACAAGAATCATTTTAGGATAAAAAACAATTAAAAAACAAAACATATTATGTATGTATATGAAACTTACATTGTGTAAAAAAGTTCTATTGCTGAAAAAAGTCCGTTATTTTCTTTTGCACAACCCTTTTCGAAAAATAAAGTTTTTCTGTTGTTTCCTTAATAAGCTGAGCTGCTTCTTTGGTATTTGTGGATGCCTCCCTGAACTGGCAAAACCTGGATATGGTCTCAGCAGCTCTCATTGCTTCTTGGATTGTAGAACAAGCCACGATGTCTTCTTCTTCTTCAGCTTCATCGACATCCATTTCCACGTTTTGCACCAGTTCAACAATTTCTTTATCATTTAGGACTTGAAATGTTTCCACCTCATCGTCTACTGAAATGTAGGAGTCAAGATCAGTTCCGAACGCTCCCTGATTCACATTAAAATTTTGTATCCACTCTGACAAAGGCATTTCGTCATCTTTATCAACGTCCTCAACATTGAGAGAAGCTACAGTTAATTTTGCTTGACGAAAACACTTATGAATTGTCACTGACATAACCGCACTCCACGCATTGTCTAAAAACTGAACAGCATCCAGGATGGTAATGTTCACAGGTTCTCCATTATCCATACAAAAAATCATTCTTTTTAAAAGCTGTTTTCGATAATGGCACTTTAAACTTCTTATGACTCCCTGGTCCATAGGCTGCAAGACACTCGTGCAGTTGGCTGGTAAGAACACTAGATTTATATTGGTCAAATTAAGTTTGGGATGGGCTGCTAGTTGCCAACTAGGAGAAGAATTTTTCTTTTCTTGAAAGAGAGTTCCTTGTCCCACTTTCTCAATTCTTCTTCAAAAATAGCAGAAGTCATCCATGCTTTTTTATTGGCTGTGTAGTTTACAGGTAGTGTTTTAATGTTTTTGAAACATCTAGGATGTAAACTTTTCCCAATAACCAAAAGCTTTCTTTTCTCTGTACCTGTCATATTTGCACAAACAAAAGCCGTCACTCTTTGCTTGGAAAGTTTTCCACCGACACATTTTTGATTTTTGAAATTTAAAGTTTTGTCTGGCGTTAATTTATAAAAGACACCTGTCTCGTCACCATTAAAGATATTTTCATCTTTGTATGGTTGCCTTTGTTGTGGCCATGTGTTTTGTAACCAGTCACTTGTTACGTTCTCGTCCACACATTTTGCCTCTCCAACAATTTTCGAGAAGGAAATTGAGTCTAACCAGCCGTTAGAGCATGTGAAATCTTCACCAAACAATTTTCCGAACTCTGTAGCTTTCTCCTTTAAAAGTGACCCGGACACAGGGATATCAGAACTGCGACACTGCTTGAACCATTTGAGTAGAGCTGAATCTACATCACCACGAATGCACTTCCTAATCTTTTTAACATTGTTTCCGTCCTCTATAAAGGCTTTTAAAATTTTGTCCTTGTTTTTTATGATTGAGCCGACAGTTGAATAAACAAGTCCAAATTGCCGGCATACATCAGCAATTTTTCGACCACTTTCAAATGCTCTTATAACACGCACTTTTTCTTTAATAGGCAAAAATTTCCTTTTAGTGCTACAACTTGCCATATTAAAAAATAAAAGCTAATTACCAAATTAAAATAAAAAAAAAAACAAAACGATCCGAACACAATTTCACGGTAGCGAAAATTTCTTAAACCGACTGTTCCGAAACAGAAAATTTGACTGTTAGGAGTGTTAGGACGGCACTGATAAATGCGAAATTATAGATTGTCAGGGTAACATAACTGTACACAGAAGGGATAATGGACCTTTCTTACATTCTTGGAAGGAACAAATGCCGCAATGCCAGAAACGCATTGCACTTTATTCTTCATAAAATAAAAAAGGACAACCTACTATAAAATTTTATGACGCTATAACCGAGGGTTAGTTTATTTTTAGCCGATAAAACCGGGTTTTTAATAACGTTATGGAATAGTTTTTGACCGGACCTATTAAAAATTGACGTTATAATCGAGATGACGTAACTACCGAGGCCGTAATAAGCGAGTTCCACTGTAGTTCTTTCTCTTGACAATATTGTACTAATCGGTCTCCTCGTTCGTTTCTTAATCCTAAACAATAATCTTCTACTTTCCCTTTACCATGGGCCAACAATCGGATAAATGACTAATTTTGCACATCTACGACTATTAATCAGACAAAGAAATTCCACATCAGACAATGGCAGATACTCCTAAAAGGACAAAATTTCATATATTTTGTCGAGATATGTCCTTGTAAAGATAGTAAAAATAATAATATCAAATTTAATATTGCTTTTCCAATATTTGACTAAAACTTGATTTTTGCTTTAAAAAATACAGGATAAATATTTTAAAACATAATATATAGGGATAATCAAAATATCCACATCAAAAAACATACAATTTAGAACAAAAATATCATTACTAATAACAAAAATTTTTATTACTCTAAAAAATATAGCCCAATAAAAAATGAATATCTCAAATAATATTATATTGTGTAATAAGTACTGAAGGTACTTTAAAATAAAAAGATATTTTGTTAAATTAATTCTAGAATCAATATTAAATATTATTTCGATGTATAATTATCTAACCTTTATAGAATTACAATGACCTCAATATTTTCCGTGTTTACCGAATGCGGTACTCTAAGAAAGACTAAACTCGGCAACGCTGACTAGTACCGGTCAGGTAAACCAAGAAACTAAGGTTAGGTTTGTTTTACAGAACCATGGCTGGAGCTGCACCTCAAACCGTCAGTACGTCGGACGATGCGATCCGGAGAACACCGCGAAACATGTGACCTTCGTAGAGATGTCGTCCGTCAAAATGTGCGCCTCCGTAGGTTGCATGGGGATGATCAAATTGTGCATTGTCCTTTTATTGATTGTGTTTGTGATTGACAGGGTGAATTGTGCAAAAAACAGGAATAGACACACGAATACTTCGCACGCTGTTCAGCAGCACTTGCGCTCAAGAGCGCCAGTTGTTGAGAAGGAGACTGATTTTTTGAATAAGGGGGGAAAGAGTAAGTGTTCAAAGTAGAATTTTAGTTTATAACAACAATAATAAACCTACTTACCTATCTTGTACATTGGACTTTAAGTTAGAATGTCATTTTAAAACTTTCCTTATAGGCTATCTTGTTTTTGTTGATGTTTTCTTCATGCAATTAAACAATATAGCTGTGTAAAGAAAGTTTTAAGTAATTCTTATACGCAATTATGTAATGGAAGTTATCTCATATTTGTATTTATTTAGTTTGTGTACTCTAACAATGTAAAACTTTAGACCATTCATTCAAAATAATGATTTTCCAGTTTTGTAAATTAGATTATTTTACTGATGTATCATAAAATATAGAAGATATAACCCTTGATGTAACTAAAATATACTGACAAGTGCGTCTTTTTGAATACCCAAATATACATAATTAGCCATAAATTTTAAGCTGTTTTGTTACGTTTTGCTCATAATATCCTAATTTTTAGGCGTATAAAATTTGTAAACTTAGAGAATAGTATGTTTCAGTTCTACTGGAATAATTTAAACTTATAGGGGACTACTGGGCAAACTATTAGGTATTCTCTCGATGTCTTGCTACGTTCATTTGCTACGAAACTTGTATATTATGCTTCTTGACCTTCTTCTTCCTTCTTGTATGAAAGCTTTAAAGCCTGTTTCTTCTTCAATATTAGCCTCCAAATTGTTTAAATTATCCCACCATTATTTTTTCTTGGTCTGCCAATACTTCTTCGTCCATTTGGTGACTTGTCTCGTGCTATTCGTACTATCCTCTGCCATTCTACTATGTTCGTTCCTTTCCTGTTTCCCTTTCGTCACCCATCCATTTATCTTTTCTATATGTTTTCGCCTTTTCTCCCTATCCAATAGACTTTTCCCTGATATTCGTCGGAGTATTTTCATCTCTGTTGTTTATAGAAGTCGTCTCGTTTTAGATGTGTCTGGTCTTGTCTCCGCTGTGTATGTTAATATAGGTTTAATTGCTACTTTATAGATTCTTGTTTTTATGTCATGTCTTAGGTGTTTGTTCTTCCAGATTATATTATTGAGGCCCCGCCTCTTTACTTGTTTTTAAGCTTTGTTGTCATACTTCTTGTTCAACATCTCTGTAACTAGTTATATCTATTCCCAGATATCTAAACTGTTCTTCCTGCTTTATCAATTTCGATTTTACATCGTAGTGGACATTTAGATGTTGTCATACATTTAGTTTTTTCTGCTGATATTATCATTGTATTTCTTGGCTTGTTGTATTTTATGCTTGATTTAAAAATAGTGAATGAAACTCTCGTAAGTAATATGTAAATACTTTAAACATAGATACACTAGTTTCTTTGTTTTCAGGAATATGCTCTGTCAGTAGTCAAATGTGGAAATCCCTCCTGTTATTACATTTGTATTTATCCCCTTATGCATCCTCTACACTCTATAGGCTAATTCTTCTTAGCATATTCATTAGGATGTTGACAACTACAAGGTCATTAATTTTATCTTCTCCAATGCTGATCTGAAAAACGCTATCTTCGTATATCTCTAAGGCAAGAATTTTGTCTTCCCCTGCTTTACAATACAATATGACAATTTCCTGGTATTCCAATTTGCTCCCCAAGTTTGAGCTGGCAAATCGCCAAAATCATAAATTTATGCTTTTTCGTACTATATGACAGGTGAAATATATGTGTTAGCCAATCAAAACAAACCAATTACGGACACATTTAGAATATTAATTATTGATGATACAGACGTAACAGATATGCTGCAAAGTGGGTACCTACAAGGTTTATTAATAAACTTACATACAAATATATAGATTTCCTATGTATAGAGTGGAGTAATCTTTTTTTATTTCATGCCAGCATTTTTCTTTCATAAAATTTCTTCACTCTTTTAAAGCTTCATTTACAATACTATGGGATACCTATTTTAGTGTGATTATTTTGCTATTAACTTTGCTACATTAAGAGCTTTTAATACACTTTCCTAATTCTGCAATAAGGTGATGAATGCCTTTCTAAAAATTGAGTCCCAAGTATCTTTATGTCAAGTCTGGTACTATTCTGTTAAAAATTAGTAATTCCACATTTCTCCTCTCCATCGTTCTCTCCAGCTCTTTTTAGTCTACCAATCTCGTTCTTGTAGGTTTCTTCTTTCCACTATCTCATTAATACATATTTAAATGATCCTTAAGTTCTTCCTCTCTTTCTTGTTTATATCGGATTCCACTCTGCTCTTTTTTCTATTGAGTTCATTTCCATTCGTTGTTCTTTCCTTTATTTTTCTCTATGAATATTTTGAACAAATTAGCAAACTGCAATACTCATTTTACCGCATTAAATGGACTAGATATTGTGTTACTGACCTTACTGGCTACTTGGTTATCATGTTAGAGTACTTTTACGGCTTTTAGTGGTTTTTATCGAACTCAGACTCAGACAAACTTCAGTATTGTGTCAGATAACTTCTTGAGATGTATAAATGATAAAGGGTCTGTTTTCATTTCATTTAATATATAAATGTGATCTATAACCAATTTTTCTACTGTAAAAACTGCTTGGTATTCTCCAACAATTTCCCTTACAACTGTTTCTATTTTTTTCTTGAAGGTTTATCCACATAGACTGTTTATAGGTTATGTTACACTGATGCTTTAACATGTATCACGTTTTTTTTTATAAATTTTTTTTATGCGTAGAAGCATATAGCATAGTAACTGGCTCTAAAACAATTTTTGATGCAGACCTGTTTTTCTATGGATTTTCACACCATACTATATCAGTTTGGGTCACGGGTTTCCATCAGCGCGCAAAATTAAAAATCATATAATAATGTGGTGTAGTAATGATATCGAAAAACAAATTTAACAATTTTTGGTACTATACAACTTGGTTGACTAGAAAAAATTTGATGATAATGAAAATGAGTCAAATGACCCAAAAAAATGCTCGAGCCAATTTTACCATTTTACCAATTTAAATAACTATTTTAAAGTAAAGTTATCCAAAATAATCGATTCAGTTATATTTTTAAAGCGGAGACGCCAAAACAACCCGGACTATGACATTTTCTTTAAAATGTTTTGAAATGTATCTCAACCATTTTTTAAAGCATTCTGTTACATATTAACCTTCTATTTGGTTTTTTATTTGTTTCTTAGTCATGCCAATGCCAATTTAAATTTATTTATAATTAAAGAGTTCTCACGGGACGAGTAATACTAGCCTTAGAGAGGTCTGTAGTAAAATCAGTCCCTCTACAATCATTTATTCGTCATACCAACCATTACAGCAAAACTTTCTCGTTAGAAGTCCAATTATAATACCAGAAAATTTCATGACACATTATGTGATTTTTTTAATGTGAGTTTTAATCCATAAACACTGTTATTAGTTTTCATTGTATCCTTAATCTATTTCGTTTTCTTTGATGGGTCTGAACTTAATAAAAATGATAAAACGGTCAGACAGGATAAAACGGACGAATTTTAAAAGGGGGCATATTCGAAGATAAACATTGCAAAAATAGTACTTATCTTCAAAAAGGTTACAATAAAAACTTCAGATTTATTATCGCATAAGTTGGCCTTTTGATTGTTTAAGTTATTTATTAGGATTTTATATTTGGAATGGTTCGTGCACCATTTACTGGTTGGTGCTCCAGTCACTCGGGATATTTACCTCCCAATTTTGTCGGACTAAACCGATTCACTTGAAATTTGGTTAATTGCTAAGTTCTCATATAACCCCGATGTGTGCTTCCACCCCAGGGGTGGTTGCCACATTTCACAAGCGATGAATTATTACTTATTGATGTCATAAAAAAATTTTTTGAACGTTGTTTACATCATAATCGGTGATTTTAAGGGTTGAGACTTTGTTAAAATACAAAAGTTATCATTGAATATGTTTATTTTGCTTAATTTAATCAGATTTTAATGCATAAAACGCTTAAATACGCGTTTTTCTATTTTTTTTGCAGTGGGGGTAGTTTTAATCCCCTAAAAACAAAAAGTACACTTCGCCCTTATTTATTTTTTGAAAAGGAGATTAAGATAAGCTTAAGTAAATTGAAATTTTCATCTAAATTTATGCAGTCCTGCAGAATTGGGAGATAAGGTACTGTTTTCTGCCCAAGTCACTGGAATGCTAGGTATAGGTTTATATATGAAGCAGAATTACAACCAAAAGCGACAATTACATACAGATTGATCACATACAGATTTTTAGCATGTTTGTAAAAATGCCAATGAAAAGTGACTACAATATATCATTAAGCTTTCACTTCATAGACCTTAAAAAAGCTTTTTGATTCAATTGAATACTCTACCTGAAGAAGAATTTAAAAACGAAAGCGTCAGTCATAATTAATAGATATACCAAAAAGCAATATCGTAAGATTATATCCTAAGATGAAATAGTCTTTATCAAAGACAATAACGAAGATTGAAAGCAAATGGAAAAATAAGCAAAGAATACTTTTCTGCAAAGAAAATAAATAGACCACGTATGAAGAAAATGTTCTAGAAAATGTAGAATTGTGATGAAGTTTTCTTCGACGATCAGGTTATCTATTCAAAACAAAAAAAAATAGCTCCGTGATCTATGAAATAAAACACAAACTTGAAGTGACAAAAAGGCCGATACAACAAGCAATCCCTGATATATCTTGATGACAAAAAAAGAAATGACTGAATAAGATATAAAACAAAAGTAAGGGGCATGACAGATACAACTACAAAACTACAATATGAATTGCAAGACGAGAAAATCATATATGGAATCAAACATTTTATTAAATGAAAAGCAAGATGTATGGTAACCCATAACCCATCTATGTCCGTAATATTGGAGGTACGACAGCTAAACATCTTTTATCATAATTTAGTTTTTTATTAGTGAATAAGCAAAATGATCTAGTGACAAACAGAAAGAGGATATTTGATAGTTAGTAATAATTGCCTTTACAAACAGTATGTTTTGGGAAAGACCAGATGGGGAAAAAGGATCT